AAATCACCAAAAAATTCCTTCAGAACATAACTTGAAGAATGTTATATAAACCTAACATGAAGAATTGCCCAGTGACCAAGTTTAAATACCAACTATAAGTAGCATTTGGTATTAAGTGGGCTCAAGAGAACTCATTAGAGTATATCCATTCAGCAGTTGCTTTCCTGCTGCAAAGAGAGGCTGCTGAAGTGAGAAAGACTGTCACCACAGTATATCTAAGCATCTACAAGGAATTCTTGGTCGAGTTCTCTACAGCTGTTTGTTCTATCATGCCCACATTGGTGCACACTTGTGGGTACATGCACACACGTCCCCTCCCCCGGCCACATTGTTCTAAGAGAGATCACTCAAAAAATCTTACATTTTAGCAATGACAACTGAAAGAAACAACAGTTGCCTGGTACAGCTGTAGACTGAATGCAAAGGTCAAGAAGTGGTAACAAGCAAATGTGGCTCCAACTGTGAGCACAGAACAGAGGACAGTTATTTTTCAGGAGAAATGCTTCTTTGGAAACCTGAATTCTCAGAGGGTGTGCTGTCAATTACTTAAAAAAAGACACCATCACACACAACTCCACTTCCTCTTACCTCCAAATCCAATTTAAGGAAAAAGAAGAAAAGCAAATTACAGTGGAAAGCACTGGGGATGTTAAGTTGAGGTTTGCTATCTTTGTGATGCTCATATGAAACAATAAGAACCTGACTCTAAGTTACTTCTGTATCAAAATGGAATTTTAAATAATCTCCCAATGGCCATTTGATCAACTAATTCTTCCTAATTTTGTTTCTTATTTCCCATGAGTGCATACCTATGAAAGCTGTTAAAAGTCCCTTTTGCCCTGCTTTGCAAGGGGTTATGTGATTCATGTTATAACTCTATGTAACTCATTTTTTTGGTTGTGTCCTAAACAGCATAACTGAAGAGAAATCTGTTTATTTATGAGAGCACACTGTGTTGTTATTTATTCTGTCACTCTCTAGAGCCCCTATCATGCTTTCACGTTTTTCAAACCATGCATGAAAATGTATTTTTGGAATTTGAGGTAGAAACAAAAAAATTACAGAGAGAATTATTAGGGAAAAGATGTAAAAATAATACATAAAACTGTGAAATTTAGAGACGGGAGGGACTCTGGAGATCATTTTGTATAAATATCTGTCCAAATCAGGTACAACTAATAAACTTCCTAAGACTACTTCAAAAAGACCCACAAACACCCTAATGTCCACGCATAAAATCTCTAGTACTTTGTACTAGATCTGCCATTTCTGGCAGATCCTCCTGAGGAAGAAAGGTGTGAATTGATCAGCAAAACATGTCTTTATGACCATGCCATCAAGCTCTCTGTACATACAGTGAACAGTACTGTTTCTGATCTTTCCATAAAAAATACTCTTACCCAGTGTTGGGGCAGAACTATCACCCTTTCCTGTGTGAACTGAAATTAACTGAACTTGTAAAGGATCAATAATTTGAATGAAATACTCCTATAACTATACAGATTGGCCCAAAGTTTCTTATGCTACACCAAAAAAAAGTTTCTTATGCTAAGTACTTATGTTACATAGTATCTTTGTGCCCAGCTAACAGAAAGTTTGAATCTATACATTAAAATCAAGGAAAGACTAAATATTTTATTTTAATGAATCATTTACCTTTCACTTTTCTCTTTGAAATCCCATTGCACAGAAGAGGCAGAGCCAATGCAAAGTGGTAAGAAGGAGTACAGTGAGTTCCCTTCATAAAAATGTCTCTAAGCAGATATAGAAAATGGGCCAGACCAAATCTTGATGGGGAAATTCAGAAAGTGTCACAGTGAGTCATTTGTCTAGCCTAGCTTGGCATAGGGAAAGAGCCAGGAAAGTCTGTGGACACTGGAGACTGGTGGGGATGGGAACTTGTTGCATGAAATCTTCTAGCACTCCAGCTTAAGGGGAAGTCTTAGACCCCTACCAGGGCACCATCGGACCCATACTGAGGCACTGAGATGGAGACAGGTGCCAACCAGAGTCTTTGTCACTACCCAATTCTGGGTCACAGATCCAGAGCCAACTGAAAAGAGGACCTGCATTTGGGGGGTGGTGTTCCCAAGTAGAGAGACCCTGGACAGACCAGAGCTGCAAAAAAACTCTGAAGTTCAAATACAGTAGTGAAGAGAAACATGAAAAGGTTAATATGAATAAATAATGACAAAGAATTAAACAAGGATAATCTGCTTATATTCAAACATGAGGAGATGATACATGTGTCCTATCTGAACCCTATCATCATCAACAGTCACAGAGGAAGATCAATTACACAAGACCTGGGAGTGGGTCTAGTATGTCTTGATGATCTTAAGAATGAGAAGAGGGAAAGAGTTATACACAGGAGTAGAGGGGAAAGCAAGGTTAGGGAAAATGATCTCACATAATCAGGGTACATATACAAACAAGAAGGAGGTGTGAGTAGGGGGAGAGCTCACACTTGAACCTCACTTTCATCTGAACTGGCCAGAAGAAGGAAAAATACACAAACACACATGTGCTTAGTTGGGTATGGAAATATATTTCACTCAACAAGGAAATAGGAGGGAAAGGGGAGAGGTGGGGAAAATTAAAGGAAGGATAGATTAAGGGAGGGATTAGACCTAAGCAAACAAATTATAAGAATGTATGAAAATGTTAATAGCTCTTTTGGAGTTCGCAAAGAATGGGAATCTGAGGGGTGCCCATAAATTAGGGATTCAATAAACAAGTTATGATATAGAAATGTAATGGGATACAGTTGTGCTAAATGAACTATCAGTGCAGTGACCAACCATGAATCCAGAGGAACAATCACATAACATGTGACCCACTACTAATAGACAGGTAAAGGACTCAGAGTGCAGAATGAGACAAGTATCTTTTTGGACATGGCCAACATAGAAAGTTGTTTTGATTGACTGTATGTGTCTATAATGCGTTTAGTTCTTCCTGTGTTCTCAACTGGGACAGGAGATAGGAGAGTGAGAAAGTGGATTTTGTCTGATTAAAACAAATAAAATATGTATTTTTAAAAATCCATAGCACTGCTATTTAATACTACTCCTTTCACCTAAGAGTTTCAATACAATTCAATTTATCTTTATTTATTTTCAGGTTACTACTAAGGTATGTGAGAGTAATTTCATTTTATAGTCTGAGAAATTCAGGCTCAAAGTTTGCTGATATTATCCTACAATGAGATAGTAATTAGTTGAAGGACTCTTGATTATCAATTCATTAATCTCTAACCAGAACCTGTTATTGGTCACTTTATTGTTGCAAAGACCTAGTTGTTTCTTTTTATAGCAAACAAATTTATAATGATAGGGATATGAAATCAGCCTTAGGCAGACAACTTGCTTATAGGCAATGCTTAAAAAGAGACTGCAATGGTTGCTGTCATATACTCTGATACTTAAATACATAGACACACATACATACAACCCTTCTTATCAAAATTTGAATGAAATACTCCTATAACTATACAGATTGGCCCAAAGTTTCTTATGCTACACCAAAAAAAAGTTTCTTATGCTAAGTATTTATGTTACATAGTATCATAAATTATGAGAACTACTCATAAATTGTGAGAATATAACAGAAGGAAAAGTTTTACATGTTGTGAACTAATTTTTTTCCCCTTCTTTATTTAGGCAGCTAGGTGGCACAGTGGGTAGAATGCCAAGCCTGCTGTTAGGAAGACGAGTTCAGATCTGACCTCAGACACTTACTAGCTGTGTGATCCTAGGCAAGTCACTTCACCTTGTTTACCTCATTTTCCTCATCTGTAAAATGGGAATACTAATTGCATCTACCTTCCAGTGTTGTTGTGAGGATCAAGTGGGATAATTATTGTAAAGTGCTTAGCACAGGGCCTGGTACATTAAAAGTGCTATATAAATGTTGATGATGATGATGATGATGCACAGTAGGGGAAGTGACTTAGGGCAAGTGACCCAAAGTAAAAGCCAGAACAAACTTCGAACACCCAGGCTCCCTTGCATGAGCACACACTCTTCCATGATATTCATCCTTCTGCACAAACACCAGCCTCCAGCAGTCTTAAAGGTTGGGCGGAGGAGAAAGACAGCCACGGAAGAAGAGAGCCCTTCCTTTGATAAGAAATTTCAAATAACCACTTTCCACAGAAACAGATGGCAAACCTTCTAGTTAAAAAAATTTTTTGTATGAAGTCACACCAACACTCCCCAGTAATGAAGTTATAAAAAAAGAAGAAATATGGCAGAGGAAGTTCTATAAAACTTAACAAATTGGCATTCTCACTCTAAATTAAAGTGGCAGTTGGGTGCATGCTGGCATTATATCAGCCTCCTATTGCTATCTCCATTTCTCTGTTGTCTCTCACCATTCCCAGGTACCAGAACTGGTCACTGATGCTCTTCCCACTATGAACTCTTCCAGATGGATCTCTGGCTCCTTTTTTCTTGGTGTTATGTTGATTGGTGAGAGCATCAGGCACCTGACTACACTGTCTTCCCACAGATTCTGTTCCTCTTTCCTTTACTTACTTGCCACCTCTTGCTCTGGGAAGAGTAACCAAATCAATACTTCCATTGCTTCTGGAAATAGCACATCATTCAGTGGCCCTGTGGTTCCATTCACCATTCCCATGACTTCACCTTTCCCTGGTTACCTCTCCCCTATATGTGTTCCCTCTTCCTATCACAAGGTAAGCTCTGTGAAGGCAGGGACTGTCTTTTTTTTTTTTTTTTTGCATTTATATCCCCAGGAATTTGAAACAATGTGTGGCACACAGTATGCACTCAATGAATGTTTTTTTTTTCCATTCATTTATTCATTCGGCAAGGGGGAATCCTTTAGCTAATTAAAAGGAAACATATGAGTGGGAGGTTATGAGCTGTTTTCTAGAGAAGATTCTAACCTTAGAAGTACCTAAAACCGGGGCTAGCTTTCTTGGGCTCACAGGTGAGGAGTCATGGGTGCTACACAGAAAGTAATGGGACACTTACAGTTTTGCTCCAAGAAAGGCCTGTTGTATGGTGTTCCTTGATGTATGCTTGAAGCTCAGTCCAGATGTTCAGGTAGGATTTCACCCAATCCACATGGCGTAAGTCACTTAATCAGTGAGAGAATGACACAATCATGTAAGAGAATGGTGCATTTATGCCTACTAATCCAAAAGACCTGAACCAACTGCTGTTTCTATTTCTTCTCCCTCATTTATCTCCAAGAGGGGGAGAAACAAGTGTGGAAATCATTTGCATATTTCAGATCTGATGTCTGTCTATACCAACCAAGCTGAAGTGATAACTTCAGCTATCACTTTGTCTTGCTTGAGAGGCACCTCCTGAATGATTTTACCTGGCTGTTTACTTCTAAAATGTCACTGGTGTGTGCAATGTCTTATAGCCATTAAAATGTAAACAACCTAAGTCTTGCTCTTTGGACCTTCTAGTTTTAAGAAAATATTTCATCCAAATAAATCCAGTCAGGTAAAAAGAAGAGCAAAAGAAATCTCAAATTAAGTGGGATAAATTAAGCAATTTGGAAATTTCTTCCATTTCTCCAACTACAGGCAAGCTTTTATGTATTCATGGATCTGATATAATACTTAGTTTTACCTTAGGATCTGTTTTTTTTAATTTTAAAAACTTTTCTTAATAAATAGACACAAATGTATATATGTGTGTATGCACATACAGGTACCATACTACTTCTAAAGGCTGCTTCAACAATATAGACTGTATTCTTTTAATGAGAGCTCTTTAAAAGGATAAAATGCAAAGGTATAAATAAATAATTGCAATTTCATGTGGTGATTTAAAAAATTAGTACACAAAACTACTGTATAAAAATATATTTACTGTGTAAATAGGTGTCTAGACAATTGACAGGCAGGGGAGGTATGGGGTGAAACTGCCTTGGAGCCCAGGCAGGGCAGCCTCATACAGGGAAGTTTGTAGATCACATTCAACTAGAGGAAAAAATTGAGTAGTGGGGACCCCTTTGTGACTTCCATGTGACTTCTGCCTCCTTCCAAGGTGAGCTAGAGGACAAAAGTGGCATGATTATAGGTCACAGTCTGGTTTTAGGTAAGCCAAATTTGGGAGAAAAAATGAGGTAAATATTGAACAAATACCATATATGCATGATGAATGTGTGTGAGTGTGCGTGTGCGTGTGTGTGTGTGTGTGTAATTGTATGCACTGAGTATATTTTTGCAACGATAATAAAAGCTGACATTGAGGTAGCACTTTTAAAGTTTGCAAAGCACTTGCTATATGTAATCTCATTTGGGTCCCAAAGCAATTCTCTGGGGTAGATACAAGTACTGTTATTTGTCATCTTGCGGCTGAAGGAGTTGAAGTTTCCTGAGGTGAACCTGCCAGTGATGACACAGAGTGTTAGAAGAAGGATTAGAACCTAGGTCTTCCTGACTTCAAGTCCATGTAAACTTGGGTGGGCAAAACCAATTTTTTTTCACCATGATAAGCTTGTCTCACTTTAACTTGATGGACCAGTCCATCAGCGCTCAGTTCTAACTTATAAAGTGTTGGAAAGGGAGACTTACAGTTACAAAGTTAGTTGCATGTATTTAAAAATGATTTTTATTTTTTGTTTTTCTTGACTTGACAAACACCTATGATCATGAACATTCCCATGTGCAAAGAACGCCTTGAGGATTATACACGAAACTTGTGAATATCATATTCGGCTTGCTTTATTAAAAAGTATATAATAAATTCAACATGTTAATTTCCAAACTAACCACCTTGTCTGTCTCCCCATGAGGTTCTCTTTGGTGCATTGTTTTTAAAATGCTTCTATGACCTACTAGAGCAGGGGTTTAAAGCTAGGGTCCACAAACTTGTTTTTAATCTACATTCTGATAAATGTATTTCAATATAATTGGTCTCCTTTGCAATCATATGTATTTCGTTTTAGGGATTTAAAAGCATCATTCTGAGAAGAGGTCCAGAGACTTATTTACTAGGCTGCCAAAAGGGTCTGTAACTGACAAAAAGTGTTAAGAAACCTTGGGCTGTAAGTATTTATTGAAGGATAAACAGCATCAGCCACAATTGCCAGGGAAAAGATCTGTACCAGGGATAAGATATGGATAAAAGATAGATAGTGATGAAACCAAAAACAACCAGCTTATTCTGGTCCCTCACTGAGGGGGAATACCAGCCAGTCAATACCCTTGTTTGATAACAAGCAGACACAGAGAGCCTGCTGTACACAGCCCCATAATGAAGATGCTAAGAGGACAGTCAGAGGTCATCAGCCAGTCTTTCAATTCTGGTGCTTTTTTTTTAAGGGAAGAACTGCTCAGTGACTACAGTATCCCACAAGATGCAGTTGTGAAAATTTTCTTTTCTTTTCTTTTCTTTTTTTTTTTTTTGGGTAAGGCAATTGGGGTTAAGTGACTTGCCCAAGGTCACACAGCTAGTACATGTCAAGTGTTTGGTCTGAGGCCGGATTTGAACTCAGGTCCTCCTGACTTCAGGGCTGGTGCTCTATCCATTGCGCCACCTAGTTGCCCCGTGAAAATTTTCTGTAGGCCCTGAATGAAACTGCAAGTAGTGGAAGAATGAAGCAAGCTTAAGTCCATCTGCAATACAGAGAAAGAACTGATATTGTTTGAATACAGACTGAAGCATGCTATTTTTCACTTTCATTCTTTTTCTTTTGAGTCTTGTACAAAATGACTGATAAGGAATGATTTACATGATTGCACATATACAACCTATTGTTTACCACCTCAGGGAGGTGAGGGGGGAGTGGCAGAGGGAGGGTGGGAAAGAGGGATAGAATTTGGAACGCAAAACTAAAAAAAATATGAAAATTGTTTTTAACATGTAATTGGGGAAAAATAAAATATATATTAAAAAAAAGTAGGCGATGGCTCAGGGTTGTGGGATATGGGGTATTCCGCATCCCTAGGGTGTTCTGTCCCTGGCAATGATGGGGTGGTTTATGGCCAAGGTTCTGGTTTTACTGGAAGCGATGTGAATGGGTTCTTCTGGCAGCTGTTCTACAAGGGTTATAATAGATTTGCTCTTGATGTTGCCAGAAATACGCTTTCCAGCCAAATTCTGACATTTATGGACCAATCTCAGATTGTTTTTGTGGTATCAGAACACTAACTCTGACAGAAGAGGAAGCCTCAACTCCTCAGCACTGCAGCTGAGATGCCAACTGGTAAGAGGTACTGCTACTCCCCTTTCCCCTATAGGGGAAAGGAGTGATGCTCAGGAAGTGAGGCGGGTAGAGAGGAGGACACACCAATGGGAAATAGAACATTTCTAAGTTGGTGTTCAGGAAAAAAAAGTGTTTTCTTTATGTTCATGTAGGATAAGCTTAGTGGCCCTTTGAATTGATGCTAAACATGGCTTAAGTAACTTAACTCATTCTGTGTGTGTGTATGTGTGGGTGTGTGTGTGTGTATGTGTACCAACAGATTTTTTTTTTACCTCCAGCAATCACTAATATGAAGGTGACCTTTTAGCAATTATTGATTTCATGTTTTAAAAAGGAAAATGACTTACAATCCCACTGCCATCAAGTAATTCACATTATAATGTCTTACGATATCTAAGATATGGGAAACAATTTGGACTCAGTCTAGTCTGGATAAATGAACATACCCCATGCTCTCTGGATGAGTAGTTGTGTTACCAGGAGAGAAAGAGGAGCATGACAGACCTTGGGGAATAATTGTTCTTGTGTCACAAAGAAACATCTCTACTGAGAACAATGAAGATGCCAGGTTCTTTTTGTTGAGTCATCCAAGCATAACTTCCAGAGTTCAGGATGAACTTGACATTAGTACATAGCTACAGACCATGACGTTTAATCAAAATGTGTCTACTCTCTGTGACAGTAATGATGATGTCATTGTTGACAATGAAATTTCCGCCAAAATTTTAAATAAGAAAAAAAAATAAAGATGACCAATATAAAAAGTATACTATAAAATGTACTATACATTCATATATTATTTATAATTCTTATTTGTTTCATTTGCCACTTAAAATAGGAATTTATTTAATTATACAATATGCTTGTTTCCTGTTCTCACTTTTAGAGCTATGCGCTAAGTGGGATCTTAATAATTCAATCCCTCAAATTCATCTCACTTGAAATATATAGATTTGTGACAAAAATGATAGTTGCATCCACCCCAAGAGAAGCTTCATGACCCTATTTGGGGTTTTCTTGACAAAGGTATTGGAGTGATTTGCCTTTTCCTTCTCCAGCTTATTTTACAGATGAGGAACTGAGGTAACCAGGGTTAAGTTGACTTCTCCAGGGTCACACAAGTAGTGGGTGTCTGAGGCTGGATTTGAACTCAGGTCTTTCTGACTACAGGCCTAATGTTCTATCTAGTACAACACTTAGCTGCTGTTGATAGTTGAGAGTAATGATATAGATAAAGTTTACCTAAATTTCAGCCAAGCACTTAACAAACCTTTCTTTCGGATAAGACAAAAAGAGATTTGGACTAGAAGACACTATAGTTAGTTTGATTCTGAATTACTTGGTGTCATCTTGGTGTCAGAGAGGTGGTAAAGTGTCCCAGACCTTTGACTCTGGCCCTACTGCATGTTTTTGTTGATTACTTGGATGAAGGCACAGATAGTGACTTATTAGATTTTCAGATGAGGCCAATGGGAGGGATCCCTAACATGCTAGATGACAGGCAGGATCCAAAAATATCTTGATGGACTAGAGCAATGGGTTGAATCGAAGAAGAGGGCATTTCATGTAGATACATGTAAGGAGTATATAAATGAATAAATACATGGTACTTGTTCAACACAAGTTAAAATCAGTTGTATCAGACACATGACAGAGGAAGACATTGTTAGACGATAGCTCCTGGGGAGAACATGAGACCATTTTTTGGTGGACTTCGAGCTCAATATAAGTTGATGTTAAGTATGACATGGCAGCCTGCAAAATTTCTGAGAACACTTCTAAATCTCAGAACCTGTGATTCTTCATCTTAATTATCTCAAACCAGGATCTCCCTCTTATCTGCCCTTTTCTTCTTTACATGGCTTCATTTTCTGATTTCTCCTTTCCTGAATTTTGCAAATTACTGACATTTACAAATTGATGTTAGTAAAGGAAATAAAAAATAGCATACATGTTGGAAAGAGTAAAGACTGCTAGATTTGCACCATGGGTCTGAGACCAGCTATAAGTCACTCAAAATGCTTCAGGCCTTGGTTTCCTCATCTGTAAAATGTGGATAATAATACTTATATTACCAACCTTCTGGTAACTGATAAAAGCCCTTTGTAAACCTTTAGACACTTGTAGAAATGTGACTTATTTTTAGATTATAGCAAAAATGAGGAAAATATGCAATGTACACAAACCTGGTGAAGTTGTTCATCACAAGAATAATAATAAAGAAGTGATATTTTAAATATCTGGATACTGGTTTTATTTATGATTTTGTTTTATCTCTCTAAATACATAAATTGAATTTCAAAGATTTCTGAAGGAAAGAATGGGCTCTGCTAAACAACAGTAGTATGACTACTTCTAAATGATCAACTCCAAAGTGAGAACAATAAAAATAAGGCAACATACCTGTGCTTGTAGTCCTTTAAGACCCTGTTAGTATAAAATGTAGCAGCATCATTCATCTCCTTGACATAAGGACCTGGTTTGGGGGACTAAGAGAACAGCACCATCACCCCAGCATAGAAGAAAAAAAAATAACAAAGCAAGAAAACAGTTCAGAGAAAAAAAGATAAGCTGTGGAGGTGGAGATAGTTCAAAGTTATTAAGTAAAAAATGAGTGCATTAAGGCTAGGGAAGGTGACTTCATAGGTTGCATAGAACACGTTAAGCAGGATAAGCATGTAGAGTAGGCTGAAAAGAAAGAGGAAAAAGCCTCCACTTAATGCATCAGGTTAAAGATGAAAGAACAGGAAAATGGAGTTTATATCTTTTTTACATGTATAAATATTAGTGGTGTCTTCAACTACAAAAGAGTGCCAAGATGAAGAATCCCCAAATTATGGTGTAGGCTTACCACTGCTATCCACCCTAGTGCAGGGATGCTTTCGCTCACAGCTGAAAGATGATTAAACATTTGACTCCCCCGATTTCTCTCTCTGAAAGTTTGTATTTCTTGAATCTTTTCCGATATTGGTTTAAGAAGTGCGGCCACATCATTCTGCAAACAGCAAAATATGAAATATTGTTATTGAAGACAGAACAGAAACAAAGATGTGCCATCCATGTTGGCCTAATCAGACGCTGCCAAGATTTTCCATTTGTCTGGCAGTGTAAAGTAAACATATGTGAAGTTTCCAGAACAGAATGAGTTAGGTTTTTTTTTTCCCATTACGACTTCCAAACAATCATCTCCCAAACTTTCAAAAATTCACATCTTTTCCCAGGTTAATAGTATTATCTTCTAAGACATTATAAAATACAACACCATCAAAACCCTTCTATGTAGTCAAGGACCATAATGCTATATATAGTGAAATGAAAAAGAGCTTTTATATTCATCTAACGCTTGGTAAACATGATCTTATTTGAGGATCCTGTGAAGTAAGTTGTTCAAAAATTATTATTCTACTTTGCAGATAAGGAAACCAAACGTTGGCCGTAAAGAAATGACTTGTCCCCAAATCACACAGGTTTGGTCAAGACAAAACTGATTAGAACCCAGATTTGTTTTTATATCACATCCAATGTACTTTCCATCACAACCTTCTTCCAGAATAACTGTAACTATCCTGAAAACACCAATGAGTAACTCAAAACTAAAACTGTTTTTCTTCTAGTTGAAATGATCTGGTTTATCTTTCAACAATACAAACTCACTCATACTTGCCAAATTTTAAAGTCCCTGGAGGCTGTGTAAACTTGGCCTGTAATTATTAGACATGGTGACTTCTGCTGAATCAATCACTTGACATGCCGGTCAAGTGGAAACATATTACTGAAACAGCCTCTATGGAAATGCTATATTATTTCACAGTTTCTCTCTTGCATTCTCTCCTCCTCCTCCTTCCAAATTTTAAGGAGTAAATAAAATGGCTCCCTACTACCCAATTGTTTCCACTTTGTGATATGCCACTTAACCTTTGAAGCCTTGATATGAGCAACTGAAGAGATGTGAGCTGCACTCAATTAAAAATTATTTACTGAAAGTAAAATTCTTTGCTTAAAATCTGCTTGCTTTCCAGTCATTCTCATCAAACCCCTGGAGACTATTTTAAAAATTTTCCCCACTATGAGGGTGGAAAGGAAGGAAAGGGGAAGGCAGTTATCTTCCGCTGCTTTGTTATCATTGAGTTGTTTCAGTTATGTTTGATTACTATAGCAGGTGGGACTTTTTCTGAGCCTTCATCCCTACCCCCATCTTAATGCTGGGGTCTTCGCTCTGCCAATTATCTTCAATTTATCCTGTATGTATCTTGTTTGTATGGAGGTGTTTTGCATGTTGCCTCTCCCATTGGACTGTGAGCTCCTTGAGGGCAGGAACTGTCTTAACTTATCTCTTAGCATAGCAACCGGTACATAGTGCTTAATAAATGCTATTTGACTGACATATAGGAGAGACCTATGTAGTGAGTTAAGAACTTTAATAAGTTTGATAGCTTCCATTTTGGTAGGATTTTCAGGTGCTATGTAAGGAAGAGGAATCTGAAGTGATGTTTCTTGGATGGCTATGAAATTTGGCAGCTTCTACAGCCGAAGATGGGGGCAGCTAGGCGGCACAGAGGCAGGTAGGTGACACAATGGATAGAGCTCCAGGACTACAATCAGGAGGACCTAAGTTCAAATCCGGCCTCAGACACTTACTAGATGTACGACCCTGGGCAAGTCACTTCACTCTGTTTGCTCAGTTTCCTCATCTGTAAAATGAGCTGGAGAAGGATATGACAAACCACTCCAGTATCTTTGCCAAGAAAACCCCAAATAGGGTCATGAAAATTCAGACATGACTGGACAACAAGCTACAAGCCAGGTTTGAAAAGCCTTTCTGGACTCAGTGTTTAAAAAGCAAACATTTCCTTCTACTGAAAGCAGGCAAAAGTAACCACAGTGCAAGGATGATCAGGAGTCTCTCATAGTATTATCCCAGAAGGCACCAAATTTTGGTCTGTGGCTGCCACATTAGAGACCCCAGTTGCAACAATGTGCTAAGCCATAACAGTCTTAATGTTTGGACCCTTTGAGAAAAGTCAGGAGAGCTGAACTGTTGCTGATTGCTGGCTTATCGCCCTCAGAGAAAAACAACCAGGGCCTATGTATTTATAATATTAGATAGATTTATTAAGTTGATTCTTGTTTATCTCTGACTTCCCAAGAACAAACCATAAAGTTTGAGAAGACAGAGGATTTTGGAAGATATTTTATATCAATTATCTGATCAAGACATCATAAAGATTGGGAAAGTCTGCTCCTGCCTCAGTTTGGCAATAGCGTGCAAAAAATCAGAACTGTTTTTTTTCCTTTTCCTGAATTAAACATGTAAGGCTGGAAGTAATGAGTGCCACAGCTATAAGCCTGTTCTAATAAACAGAAAAGCTTTTATTCTGTGCCAATAGTTTTCTCCTACAATTTAAAGTACGTTTACATTCTCCAGCTCTTCTTGACCTTTTGCAGTGGGGATTCAGAACAGAGAGAGAATGTTGTTAGCTTTATGGCCTGTTTCCAGGAAGGCTTCACAGAGGGCTAATGGGGGAAGATGCTGATAAAGAGACACTTTTAGCTATTTCAATGTTGAGCACATAGTAGGTACTCAATGAATATTTGTTGAAGTGAACTGACATAGAACTTTTCCCTAAGAAGAGAGGAGGATCAGTCACTTAATAGGTTTCAAGGATTTCTTTATTTAGAGTTTTAGTAACATGTTTCCTTATTTGGTTAATAACCCAAGCACTCATTGGTTAGGCATATCTGGAATGACCCCACTCTGCAGTCATTCTTTAACGTTTCTTCAGGTTTCCTTTACTCACTTTCCTAAGACAAAATCATATTTCATAAAGCTAAAGCTGGTCCTAAAGATGAGAGGGAAGGAATGCTCTAGGGTTCTATAGTCCATAGATTTCAAGGAACTACATATTTACAGATTCCAAGTGGAATCAATCAATCGATAAGTATTAAGTGCCTACCACTGTGTTAGGTGCTGGGGATGCAAAATCAAAAATGTAACCACTGCTGCCTGCAAGGAGCTAACGTTCTATTGGGAAGAAAGCATCCTTAGTACATATAAGTATACTGCTGTTATTGAGTCATCTCAGTCGTGTCTGACTCTTCATGACCCCATTTGGGGTTTTCTTGGCAAAGATCATGGAGTGGTTTGCCATTTCCTTGTCCAGCTCATTTTATAGATGAGGAAACTGAGGCAAACAGGGTTAAGTGACTTGCCCAGGGTCACACAGCTAGTAAGTGTCTGAGGCCAGGTCTGAGCTCAGGAAGATGAGTCTTCCTGACTCCAGGCCCATTACTCTATCTACTGCACCACCTACCTGCCCTTATAAGTACATGCAAAATACGGATAACATTGATACAGGGTAATTTTGCAAGGGAGGGTACTAGCAGCTAGGAAAAATCCAGAAAGGCTTCATGTAGGAGGGGGCACTTGAGCTGAGTGTGTTTTTTGAGCTGAGTTTTGAAGGGAAAAAAAAAACCAGATTCTCGAAGGATGAAAGGTGAGGAGGGAGAGCAGAACGGATATGGAGGATGGGTAGCACACAGGTACCAAGGTGAAAGATGAAATGCTACCTATGGGGAATAGGAAGAAGGTCAGTCTGGCTGGGCCACAGAGTAAACGGGAGTAATGTGTAACAAGGTGGGAAACATAAGTTAGGATCAGGTTGTGAAGGTTGTTTTTTTTTTTTTTTTTGGTGAGGCAATTGGGGTTAAGTGACTTGCTTAGGGTCACACAGCTAGTGTTAAGTGTCTGAGGCCAGATTTGAACTCAGGTCCTCTTGACTCCAGAGCTGGTGCTCTATCTACTGCACCACCTAGCTGCCCCTGTGAAGGGTTTTAAAAGCCAACCAAAGGACTTTCTATTTGATCCTAAAAGTAATAGGGAACCACTGCAGCTTACTGATGAGGGGAAACACACGGTTAGACCTGCATTTTCAGAAAATCATTATAGCAGCTGTGCAGGATGAATTAAACTGGGGAGAGATGGGCCAAAGAGATCAGTTAGGAGGTTATTGCAATGGTCTAGGCGACAAGAGACAAGGGACTGAACTAGTGTGGTGGTTGTGTGAATACGGAGATGTTGGGGAGGTAGAAATGGCAAGATTAGGTAACTGACTGAATCTGTGGGGTGAGGGAGAGGGAGGGATTGAGGCTAACAAGCACGTCATAAATGTGTGTGGCTGGAAGAATGGTGTTGTCTTCATCAGAAGTAGGGAAGTGTGCAAGAGGGATGAGTTTTAAAGGAAAGATAATTTCTATTTTGGACTTCAGGCACTTCAAATGCTTAACGGGCCAGAAATGAGCTATTCACTTCATTCCCTATCCAACAGCAACTGTCAAAAAACAAATGTTTCTGAGAGATGTATTAGCCCCTTAGTACATCACTCCATTTCAAAGAGTATTCCAAGACTTACGGGTCTATGTGACCTTAACTTCTGCTTTAGAGCTGAAAGATTGATAGGTATTTTCAACTTAGTCCCATGAGTAACTGAATTGTTTTATAGAAAGAACTAAAACTAAAGACTGACCTCATCAAGCTACAGCAAAGAGTTTACCTGGGGGTTGGTGGTGGAAATCATGCCATGCTCTTTGTGAGGAGCAGCTCAAAATTCTTCAAATAGGAACAAATTGAGGTATATAAATTTGATGGAATACTATTGATAGAAGTGATATAAGAAATGAGGAAAGATAATTTCAAAGAGAATTAAAAAGACTTGTATGAACTAATGCAGAGTAAAGGAAGAAGATCCAGAAGAACAATTTATGCTATCACATTGATATTACAAAAATTAATATTTTGAAGACTTTTAAAAACTGATGAAGTAAATGAACAGAACTAGGAGAACAATTTACTCAATAACAACCACACTATAAAGACAACTATGAACACTGTAGGAATTCTGATCAATGCAAAGATCATACACGATTTCTGAGTCCAAATGATGAAGCACACTATCTTCTCAAAGAGGTGATGGATTTAGGGCAAAGGATGAAGGATAG